GTCTTTTATTTAACTTTGCCGCTCTTACACCAACATTTCCCCACCGAGGGACAATAAAGGTGAGACAGCAGTGTCTGTCGCCTCAGGGACATGGTCTTCTGGTAATGTTTGTTTATGTGTTCTGTCCAGGATGACTGGTTGATGTGCACTCAGTCTTCTGTTTATGAATGCATGTGTTCATTTTTTGAGTTACCAGTGACTTGGAGTTGCCCATAGAGTCTCTCACCTGCAGCTCATCTCCTCAGGAAGCCTAATCAGCACTTCTGGGATCTACCTACTCCCAAGGGAGGGGAGACTCATGTTTATGCTTGTGTTTAATTTAATGTGGATATTTTCTGTTATGGATAGGGAGTTTGTAATTATGATTTAGTTATTTGAGTTACCTGAATTGATTAGACTGGTTGGTTTGTGTGTGTGAGGATGTGTTTAAGTTGAACCTTGTGTGTCTGAAAATGTTGGTTGTTTTTTCTGGACGGTGTGTCTTGTGCTGGTGTCATTCTGAGTCATGTTAATTTTGAAGCTCCTCCAAAATAAAATGGAGTTTTCAGACTCATCAGCAGTGCTTTTCTGGCTGGTTTGTGCAAGTCCCTGACAAATGGACATTTCTATTCTATTTTCATTCTCTTCTATGTATGCACACACATGCACCCATCTCACCTTTAACCATCTCAGGCTCATAAGAAGTTTTGATAAAAGGACAAACACCTAAATCCTTCAGGGGTACTTCTGAGTTAAAAAATGCTCATGAAATACGTATGTGGAGTAACGAGGTAGGTAGGTTGTAACGATGCAAATCTGCAACGCCTGCCTCCAGAGGGTTAAAACATGGCCGGTAGCAGTAAGATTTGGTGTATAAAGAACCATGTAAATGTTAGTTCATGCTGTTCATGGTGTGTATTTTATAAAAATAAAGTCCTCTGATGATTTAAAGAACATTTAAACATATATATTTTTTAAATTTCATTATGTTTTGAAATTCAGTGACAAGCCTGAGACAAAGAGGTCTATCAGGACAGCGAGAAGCCTATTCAGATAATTAAATGCAAGAAAGAAGCATTGACAAACGTTGAAGAAACTCAGTGGGAAGCTCAATCACGACTCGGAAGACACGTTGTACACTTGGCTGGAAAACCCAACAGATGTGCAAAGTCAAACAGTTCAGAGAGGGATGTCGGACAGTCTGTTTCGTTTAGGACCCATGCTGTGGTTAAACATTTGAGTTAAAAACACACACACATTTGGAAATTCCACATGTGGATATCAACGTAAAGCTCAGTAGTTAGAAAAAGGTCTTGGGGTTCAGATTTAATGCGTACATTCATACAAGTAAAGGAAAGATCCAAAAGTCAGACTTAAACTAATTTGGTTATTTCCGAACTGAGATGCAGATCATTAACTCAGAAGTACCCTAAAGGACTTAGTTGTTCGTCCTTTTATCAAAACATATTTTGAGCCTGAGAACGTTAAATCCCCAAATGCCTCCCTTCAGGGGTTTCGCTGAGGATTTGAGAAAAGTTTGGTAGGAGAATGCACTGCAGCGTCAACGACAACAGCAAAATGTGTTTTAGCTCTGAAGCCTTTAGTCACTTGGATCTTTTTGTTCTCTCCCAGGAAGCATCAACTTACTGTTCTATAGATTTGCTGCAGAGTGTGAGCGTGTTGGAAACTACATGACAGTGTGGACTTGTGAATGATTCTGAGACACTTTCTGTGCCCTCTGAGGCTTAAAGTGGAGAAAACGCAACCTCTCGTCCTTAAGTCCCGCCCCATCGGCTCATCCGAGGGCTGTGGCCAATGAGTGGACACCACCGTGGGGAGATTAGAGCCTATTAGCACAAAGGCAGATGACCACTAGTAACCTCACTACACTGCTCTATTTATATATTATTTAATGAAACACAATCTGTGAAGGTTTTTGTTTTCTTCTTCTTGAAGCTTTACTTGCATCTGTGTGTTGTGGGAGTTTCTTAGCTCTTTTTTGACCATCATCTTTAAACTATCGTTACAATTTTCTATAGCCAATCGCTGACTTAGTCCATCCCTCTGAGATGCTGAGCACATTTCACCAGCTTTATCTTTGAAGGACCATCAAAAGCACCCAAGACAAAGGGGGAGTGAGTGAGTGAGATGAGATCAAGCATCTGTAATCATCACGCATGGACACAAAATACGAAAATGACAAGAGCGGCAGAACAATAGCAGTAGCAAGAAGACATGAAGCAGTTGGTATTGTTTTATAAGATAATTAAATTACTTAAATAAAAAGAAGCAATGCAAACACAAACTGCATCTGCAGTGCAGGAATGGCAGAGTGGTCTGAGCAGCAGCACTTACAGAGGTATCATGCAGCCGGTGAGGTGTGTGTGTGTGTGTGTGTGTGTGTGTGTGTGTGTGTGTGTGTGTGTGTGTGTGTGTGTGTGTGTGTGTGTGTGTGTGTGTGTGTGTGTGTGTGTGTGTGTGTGTGTGTATGTGTGTGTGTGTGTGCATGCGTGCATTAGCACAAATGTGTGGTGTTTCAAGGGGCATCACCCTGTGTACACTAGTGATTACCTTCCCACTGGCACCGGCTAGAATAAGCTGAGGCAGGCAGTGTGCTGCGTTTTGGCCGCGTTTGAGCCAAGCTGGCTTCCGTATCACACCACTCTGAGCTCGACAGACGCTGCATACTCTCACCACACCTCTCCCTCCCTCCCTACCTCTCCCTATCTATTTCTGACACTGAATACGCAGGCTCACACTCTCCTCCACTACATGAAAACGATACAGCTAGCATATGGAGACAGAGGAGAATATGCACACTTGTGCAGGCACACATATGCAAAACCGTTCACTCGTGTGTTTTCATGTTTAAACAAGCTGCAGGGACCATCATCTGCTGAGATTGCCCTTAGTTTGATTTGACTATCAAAGCAGAAGAAAGAGTGGCTTAAAATCCTAATGTGAGGGTTAACATTCCCCTGTAACATCAGTTTGTTCTGATTTCCGGGTGACAAATTGTCTGAATATCAACAATTAACGTAATCTTTAAATATGATTTATATGCAAAGATGGAGAAAAAGTAGAAACAAACCCTTGTATAAAACTTTGCAAGATTTTCATTCCAAAGGAGAGGCTTTGCACTCAAATCAAGAAGCAGCAGACCTGCTTCAGCACTTTAGGCGTCCCACATGAAGGAAAATGCTGAAGCAGCGATGAGGCTCTCTGAAGTGAATCTGCAGCCCCACGGCTCTAGGATGGACCAGGTTTATTGATTATGATTGGTACATTACTTTAGGCAGGTCGTAATCGTTTGTGAAGATGTGAATTTAACTATTTTTGCCTTGAAATGTATTTTTCAAAGCATCAAGGCAAAGAAATGCATTACTAAGCAGAAAATATTGTGCGGTCATCCAAAGTACCTTTACTTTGCAGATTACTTTAAAAATTTCCATCTTTAAATATGAATTCTCTAAAAATTAGCATTAAAATGTTAAAATGTTAAGTTAACCCTCGAATATGAGAGTATTATTTGCTATTTTCTCATAAATAGACTTGGTAATAACTTTAATTAAATATTGAAGGAGGAAAAAGAATAGGTTTACATGGTGTGCAGAGCTGCACCACATCAATTATTGACACCAAAGAGCAGCAGGGTGCTGGGAAGTGAAGACAGGTGAGTTACGTCATGAATATTCTCCTTTAAGGGACATTCTCACCTTCACTTTTTGGTGCTTTCTCAAACCAGAAAGTTATTATTTAAATAAGTGGCGCTGTGAGTTTGGCTTTTTAGTTAATACCCAAAATGTGACATTGTTAGTGGACCGACCCATGTTTGTCACTTAGCAACAGCTGCTGTAAAAACAAACAAGGCTTATGATCAATTAAGCAAAACCTTCATTAAACACTAAAAAAAAGCAATAACACAACTGTAGTTCTTATTCATCTATTCAGACAGCTGTAAAGCTCATTTTGAAACGGTAATTAAAACAAACAGTCTTATCAGGGTTATCATTGCTCGTTTTTCTGCTTCAGCGCAAATAAAAGTGGTTATGTGGTCTGGAAATCAAGATGGGGGCTGTGTGTGGAGCAGGAGCAGGTCGAGCTCCCCGGTTTTGCCGGTAGGCCGCAGGATTTCAGCACCCGTTGCGCCTGGACAGCTCCGTCCAATCAGCTGAGCTCAAAGGAAGCGCGTCACCCTTCCTCATCCTCCCTCATCCTCCCTCCTGAAGCATGGCGGAGGACATCTAAGGCTGAACTGCTGACTTTTTACAACCGGCTTGCAGTTCCACTGTGTATAAATGAACAAAAATGAGAAGTGGTTGCACATCCTCGTTTTGTCGCAAAGCGCTGCACATCGAGGAGAGGAGATGAGTCCTAAAGCAGGGTTTACATGACGTGTGTCGGTTCCTACGCACAATGTCACTCGACCTTAGCAGCTGGCAGGCCTGAGACGCACACTTGTATATGTATTTGTCTCATGACAGGCGCGGAATTATCTTCTAAATCGGGATTTGCGCTTTAAATTTCCCAGGTAGACTAAATAAAATCATTAATTATCAGGAAGCCCGCAAGAATTTAGCCGCACGGCAACCTGACCACCCCCCACCCCCACCTCGTCCCTCCCGGTTCACCTGAATAAAGACACCCAAAGCAAACCTGACCATATTTTATGCTGCCCTGATGATCTGCAACGTTTTATGTTGTAATCCAATCTACACATCTAGGGGTTGCGCCCGTTTTCACGAGGTATAGCCTACACGTGTTGATGGGTTGAAATTAGAGATTATTGCGGTGCATGCGACGCGCAGGACCCGTTACCGGGTCATTATTCAACTCCGCAAAGTAGATTCGGTAACGGCAGAGCCCTCGGTGGGTGAGTGAAGTGAAAAAGCCGGAACACCGGCAATGAATGGCACAATGAGCCTCAGCCCCAACCGAGAGGCAGGTGCAGCGCCTCTGTTTGCCCGGCTCGAAGGGCTGGAATCATAAAAAACAAACGAAGGAAAAAGAGTCGGACTCACCTAATATAATCCAGAGCGATCCAGAGACCAGCACGAATGCAAGCATGTCTTTCTCATTGAGTCAGGTGTCCTCCGGTGCAGGAGCGGCTCGGAACTGCAGCATCAACTGCAGCAAGCAAGTCCGCGCGACAATCTGGGGGATTAAGGAGGGAGGGAGGAGGGAGGGAGAGAGGAGGTGGAGGGAGGGGGGTGGGGGGGGGTGGGGGGGTGAGGGACAATATCTCTGAGACAGGCAGTGGGGGATCTGGGCAGGGGACGGTGATGTCCAGATTCGGTGTGAAATCACCCTGCGCGTGATGGGTGGAAAAAGAAAAGCAGCCAGGCGTTTTGGAGCATCCTTCCTCCTGCGGATTTTCCTCCTTCACCCGGTTGGCTGCTGCGCAATAATTCTGGCATCCTCTCTGACATTTAAAGGTTTGTAGGGTGGACCAAGGTTTTTGAGCCATGAAAATGTATTTTACTGATTATTAAAACATCAAAAGCTTGAATTTGTTCTCCTTTGATTTGAAAACGGACATAATTGCAGCTATGGTGCAGGGAGGTAGTCGTTAATTTTTATTTTATTTTATTTTGCGTTTTTTTAAACGCAGCTTTTGCCCCAAACTTGCATCCGGTTGCTTTTAGATGACTTTTGTTTGAATAATAATGTATTTAAAAGGGGATGTTTGGTAAATCACGCCATATCTGCAGCTGAGCACTCTTTGACACCGAGTTGCTTTGCATCAGAGTCACGTGATCGGAGAAGACACTCCCAGTGAACGAGAGTAACCTTGAGAAAGTCTGACACACTCACGGAGGGTGACAGTACAATTATTAAAGGGACGGCAGAAAATAAAAATAAAAATTATTTGAAAATGTTTTAATTTTTTTAATTTTAAAAGTTTCTCCTTACTTTTTAGCAGACATTTTACTGCTTTTTGAGTTTTATTGTCTAAGTTGTCATTTCTAAAACAGGTCACTATGTGAAATAAAAAGACCAGTATTATGTTCCTTTTCTCTTTTGATTTCTTTGCAGAGAACACACACACACACACACACACACACACACACACACACACACACACACACACACACACACACACACACACACACACACACACACACACACACACACTGGATCCAAGCTCTTCCTTCATGCAGGATGAGAGGCCAACAAACTCACTAAACAGGGCAGCCAATCAGATTACAGACACTGAATTTGCTTTTTTCTCAGTCAGGTTACCTGTGATGTGCCTGCAGGACACAAGACGAGAATATGAGGAAGGCGGGGGGATGGATTTGATTGCCTCGTTTATTTATTTATTTATTGGTTATAAAGCCCTTTAAAACAGCCAACTATACAGCCAAAGTGCTTAACAGATCGCATAAAAGCAAAAATCAAAATAAAACATAAAGAATACACAAATCAGACAAGAAGGCTGAATGAGGTAAAAGCAATAACAAAAGTCCCCATTGTGCATTCAAAACTTTCCTGAAAAGAAAGGTTTTAAGTTTAAATTTAAAAAGGCCTGGGTCAGAGATGGAGCGTAAGTCCAGAGGGAGCTGGTTCCCCAGTCAGGTGCTGCTATGCCCGGTCACCCCAGTGTTTAAGAAGACCGTTGCTGGTGCTGAAACTCAACAAGTCTGAGATGTAGAATGGGACTAAACCATTAAGAGCATTAAAACTGAAGAATAAGAGCTTAAAATCTATTTGAAAATGAACAGGCAGCCAATGGAGGGCAGACAAGATAGGAGTGATGTGCTCGCGTCTGGGGGTGTCAGTTAACATTCGAGCAGCCGTGTTTTGGATCAGCTGCAGCCTGAGAGATACCGAAGTAAAGAGCATTGCAGTAGTCGATCCTGGACCTGATAAAAGCATGGCCTTCTCAAGGTCAGTCAACAAGATTTAACCTTAGTTAAAAGAGGAAGGTGATAGAAGCTTGATCTGACTACTGAATCGACTTGCTTTAAAAAATTGAAATTTTTATCGAAAATCACGACTAGATTTTTTTTTTACATTATTGCCAAAGTTAAAATTCAGAGTACCGGTATCAACAGAGGCATTCTCACCAAACTTTATTTAGCAATTTGTACAATGAGCATGCAAATAAAACGTCCAGTAAAGCTTGTTTAGGGAGGTCAAAGGGGTCAAAAACAGTGGAAGTAATGAAAAAAGATGAAAACATCCGACATGCCACATCACTTAATATTGTTTCAGTCATCAACAGACACAGTGATAGACTGTGATGTGACAGAGAAATAAATAAGGAAAAAGGTTCTTGAACAGAAGTTAGAAGTTTACAAATACAGCCGACATTTGTGTTAAGGGTTAGGTTTGACATGTTTATTTATTTTCATATATATCCCCCTACCTCTCCTCTCCTCGGTTATACATGACACTTAAGCCATCACTACTCAGAAAACATGTCAGCTCTAAGACTTTAGTCCTGTGAATGAAATTCATCACAAAACACTGTTTGTCCAAACAAGACGTGTTATTAAAACAAAGAAAATTTAAAGAGCAAGTCGCCCCAAATCTACTTTTTTTTCCTGATAAACTATAGAAATGTGCTGCAATAGTTTTGCACTTTAGTGCATTTTAGTTCAAATTTTAATTTTCCGCCTAAAACGGTCAGTGTTGTGCCATTGTCAGGTAAAAACTCCGCACTGTAAATCTGCCATCGCTAGAATGTTAGCTGGTACCATATGATGTCACAATGTCATTGTGAGCCTGTGTGTGTGTGTGTGTTTGTTAGCGGCTCCGCCCTCTCGGTCTGCTAGGCAACAGCTTTTGTTGCATTTTTCAAACAGGAAGTGTGAGCGGAGTAATACTCTGGTAGGGGGTGACTTGCTCTTTAACATTAATAGACTCCATGAGAGAGTTGTTATCTGACTTTTGGTTTTTTCAACAGTCAGTAAAATAACAGAAACTTGATAGATAACCCACTGTAAAGTCAAAGTTCAAACATAGTGAAGTCTACTAACATGAACACTATCTTAAGCAGCTGGAACTCAATTTAACTTCAAATATACAGCTGGCCCTCAAATGAGCATTGCAAATGAGAACAGATCCCAGAGAGGCAGGTATTTTACACATAGAATGGGTAAAAGGGTAGATGAAATATTTGGATTCAACAAAAAAATGTTAAGTAGGGTTGAAGTCCACAGTTTGGTTTAGTTACTTTTTAAATGAATAAAAATGAAAGACGTGAGAGAAATCTGATCTTGTGTCTTTCTCGCATCAACGGTTTTGGTTTGTGTTCTTGAATTCACAAAAATCTGTAAAAAAATAAAAAAAGGAAATGAAAAAATATTTTTGAAGCAAAGAGAATAAAATAGTGTTTCTGCATCAGAATAAAGAAAAGAGTTCAGTTATTGCACTAATGAAACATGAATGTACGTTTCCAGTTAAAGGACTGCAAAGGAAATCTCTCTGACTCGGTGACCTGATGACCCTCGAGCGGGGTCAGACTCACCAAGTCTGATAAAGTTTACAGCTGCATCCTTAATCCTTTATCACGTTAGTTAAAACTCAACATAAAAAGCCTCGTCATGGTTGTAATTCTACGTAAAAAAGTTGCATTCATTCAGTCAAACAATCCAATTCAGTATATTTGAGTTTTCTCACCACGTTCACTTGGAAATTTTAATCCTCAGATTTCATGGAGGTTGCTTCAGGACATGCTTCTCTTTTAACTTTTTTCAAAATAACTTTTATTTACCCAGGCCTTTTTAAATTTAAACTTAAAACCTTTCTTTTCAGGAATTGTGTTTAAATGTATTATGTTTAAATCTTCTGTTTTTTATCTCATGCAGGCACATGTTTAGGCTAAAAATCTAATTTAAAACCAGCACAAGGGATCTAAGGGCTAACAGTGATTTGAAATTCACAGAGTTTTGGTTCTGGAACAGACTTTATTACAGAAGGAGGTGCTCAGAGGAAAAACACACGTCTGAGCTGAAGAATAAACAGAATAATCAAAAGGGTGACACATGTAAACAGGTGGAGGAAGGGCTTGATTTCATTTAATCATTTTTATTTCAAGTATTCAACGATCAGTATTTTGCAGAAGACAATTATTTTCAAGAGATTATCAAATTAAAAATAACAAAATTCTGTCAACAGACCAACTTTCGCAGTGATCAAAATGCACTCAACGTTTTTTTAATGGTTTGATGTATTTGTTTATTTATTTGTTTGTTCATTCTGTTCTTGTGAAGCCCCTTGTTATTTTTTTAATCTTGATAGGTGCTATAAATAAAAAATATTATTTTTTCTTCTTCATGCCAAGTTAAAGCAACAAAATCTGACAGGAAAAGGTGTGAAATGACTTCAGATCTTGTTTTTTTTTCTTGGTACCTTATTCTTACCATAAATACATCACCGTGTCAACAGTCTCTTGACCTTTTTTCGTCTCATGGTTAATATTTACTCAGTCCTTTCAAAGCTGACAGCTGGTTTCATGTTGCAGCTCTCAGAGACAGTACACAGACTGGGCTGATGGGGGCGCTAAACTCCCTAGATTTTAAAATACTGGAAAACCTTAGAGGGATGACCATGTTGGACCATTTTCCCTTCTCTTTCCCCGTTTCTGATAAAAATCCCAGCCCAGAAATTCCCAGAAAAACTCCTGCTGGACCTGTTGGATTCAAGTGCCACTAAGTGACTTTGATCAGAAATACATTTATTTCCTAGATGACATCACTATAAAAGTTAGATTCTTTTAATCATTTTATTCAGTAGGCAGGAAGGATCACTTCCAAACACACACATACAATACACGGCCCGCATCCTGGATTTTGTTGCAAACAAGAATCAAACAAGCTGAAATTGTTACCACCAAAATAAACCCACCGTCACGTTTTGGAGGGATGTTAGAATCCAAAATGCAGAACCCAGGATAACACGAGACAGGAGTGGATATGAAGATAAAAATCCTTTTTATTGTAGGATAAACAGAATTAAATCCAAAATCAAGGCAGGGAGCCAAAATCCAAAAAATCCAGAACATGAGAACCAAAGCCCACTTAGAGCACAAACCGGAGACGGGACAGGAAGCTCACACAGAGCACCAAACAACACTGAACAAACAACAATGGACCGACAAGACACTTCTTCTTCTTCTTCTGGTGTTTTATTGGCGGTTGGCAAACAACGAATGGTGCATTACCGCCACCGACAAGACACTGAGACAAGACAGGGCTTAAATAAAATGGGGCATGATGGGAGGCAGATGAGCTGCAGGTGTGTGGGGAGAGGACCAGGTGATAGCAATACTTAATCAGGGAGGGAACTCACATGACCTTAGAAAAAAACTAAAAACAAGAAAAGCAACCACATAACTAATATTCTAAAGGGAAGGAGAACTACAAAGACTGGTGGGACAAAACATATAAGAGACTAATAAAATGAAAAGCTGAAACTATAAACACTGCAGAGGGATGACTGGCTGCAGAGGGGTGACTGGAGAAGACGAAAGGAACACAGGACCTGAGAGACATATTTGGAAGGCTGAAGACCAGGGGACAAATGAGGAACACAAAGAGACACATAAATGAGACACAGACAAAGGACACATGAGGGCGCTATGAAACACAAAAGGAGAACCTGGAGTGGGAACTGGAGGGGCTGGGGAACAAAGGGACACAGAACATGACACCCACCTGCAGCCCCTTCACCTGTACGAGGTCATGCATATCTGCACGGCTCATGTCTGAGGCCTCTGACCTGATCCAGTCGCTGTCACCGAGCTGTCAAAGCAGATGGATCCTAAAGCAGCTTTCCTCATGCCAAATCCTCAGTTTGCCGTTTTATCCTTTCAAGTGGCCTAAATATTCAGATTCACTGACACCTTGTGCTTGGAAAATGCATTAGCAAGGAATCTGTCAGTGTGATTAAAGCCCATTGATAAGAGGTGAAAACGAGCAAGGAAGATGCATAAATGATTACAGTTTGTATAAAATATGGTGTTTCATTTTAGGTATAAAGTGCATCAATAACCACTGACAAGTGAGACATTTCTTTTTGTGTGGAAATAAAAGGCAGGGATAATCACTGAATGAGATTTATTACATATAAGGTTTAATTTAGTACTAAAATCTATTAATAATGATAAAAAACATTGGTATTTTCTCATAAATTGCATTATTTTATACAATCTTCAGCATTTATAGGTTATTTTACCCTAAAAACCAAAAGTTTTATTGAACTGAAAATGCCACAGCTCCAGTGATTTCCCATGATCCGCACAGCATCAAGACAAGGAGGTTATAAACATCCTAAATTAGGAATGCTATTCCTCACGGCTTCAAAAATCCTTTCTTCACTGGGAAATCCCACAGCCTGCTGCTGCCAGTGAAAACTCCACGCGAAAACTCCCTGCGCTAACGCTTCCCTCCTCCTTGAGCAGACGCGCGCTGGAAACGTGCCCCCCCCCCCCCCCACACACACACACACACACCACCACCACCACCACCACCGGGAAGCCCCTTAATCAACAGCAGGGTTGAATAGATGTGACAAGGCATTTATGGGGCTTCCCAAAGTCTCTCTCATACTCTAATTGTGTAAAATAATAATAATAATAATAGTAAAAATTCCTGTGGAATTTTCAAATCTTTATTCCCCTCCCTACCACATGCGAGTTGTGTCAGACACGCTTGGTGATGTGAGAAGCTTTGCTGAATAAGCCCGCATAACTATTTCCGCATAACTCTGAGTGCAGGAGCTTGCGTTACCACTCTGCCCCTAGCGGCGAATAGAAATTACTACACCATTTCTTGTAAATGCCCCTGCTTCTCGAGCGCCGGCTGAAGGCTCGTGCACATGCCAGGCTGTCAGATGATCTTTGACACAGAGCGGGGGAATGTGCGCGCGTGTGACCTATTTATGCCCTTTGCAGGCATTCAAACTAGTCCTTTATCTGAAATCGTAGTTTTTGTGATGTTTCGTGCAAAAAATCCAATATTTAAACATTATTTTAGAAGATGATTTTTCTGAGTGTGTGTGTGTGTGTGTGCGCGCGCATGTGTGTATTTGAGTAAAAATAAATGTGCTATCTTTGACAATCCCAACAAAAATGTGGACTTTTGCAAAATTCAAATCATTTGCAATGAATTACATCAGCAGGTCTTCATGCTTTGGACTACGTGCCCACCGCTGTAATGAAGCCATTGCAGACAGTTGTAAACTTCCTCCTTGCTCTCAACTGCATGATTTCTCGGAAACGGCTCGGCTGCTGTATCCAAAAGACTGGTTTACGCATGCGCGTACTGCTGGAAAAAGTGTGAACAAAATAACTGTCAAGTATGTTGATTTTGCATCTTTAAGGTATATTTTCTTTATCTAAACAGAAGTAACCACGTGCACACGTAAGATTATAATATGTTTAAGTTTTTGCAATAGTCACTTCTGTTTAAATTCGTTTGTTTTAAGGGTAGATGAGTGATTTAAAGCTTTTCTTTATGCCTCTTGTTAGAATATGCAATCTCTTTAAAAATAGAAATCACCATATTTTAGTTAAACTGGTATGAAATAATTAGAAAATACTTCATATAAAAATACACCCACATGAATAAAAGCTGCAGGATCTTTCATTGTTTTAGTTTTTTTCATGCGGATATTTCTTCCAGCGTGCACACGCCTCCCTTCGGCTGTTCAAGGAAATACCCGCTGCTACTTATAAAAAGAGATGCCCATGCAGTAGTCAGCTCACTTCACCAAAGATATCCTGCAGGATAACTCACAAGAACGAGGAGAAACTTAACAACAGCAAACTCAAGCCGCTCGGATTATTCTCGCACACACCACTATCATCTTGGATTGCAGAGAAATAAACACCGTACGTGTTTTCATCTTTTTTACCGGACGCATTTGGTAACTTTTGAAACGCTTTCATTGTGTTTTGCCTTTTTATCATGTTGTTATTTTAGTTGTTTTCCAAATTTGCACGTTTTTCTCCCCGTTTTGGAACTTTTGTTGACTATGGGAATTTATAGGATAAAGATGCATGCCATACACTGAGCCGCGCTGGTGGAGGAGCGAGTTGTCATCTCGCACAGCTACAACCTTTTAAATCCTAGTTTATTTATTAACAGCATCATATTATTATTTTTAATAAACAGTGGGCTACTTTCGACAGTTTTTGTAGTGTTAAACATATTTTCCGGGCATTGAAGTGTGTGTGTTTTTATTTTTTTTTTGTAATTTTTGGTCCGTTGGAACCTCCTAACTCCTACGCGTAACCACCCCCACCGTGCGCGCCTTTCGCGTCCTGGTGAACTCCTCCTCACCCTTCCGCGCGGCCAGTAGGCAGCTATAAATCTAAGCACAGGCGGATGTGGGAGTGCTGTTGCTCACTGTACAGGATCAAGCACCCGATTCGTCACTTATCCCAATCTTTCCCTCGTTTGCTGCACGTTTTAGGTCAACATGCCAGTGCAAAGGATGAGGATGAGGCCATGGCTGGAGAAGATGATCGAGTCCAACTCCATCCCTGGACTGGCCTGGGTGGACAAGGTGAGTGTCTTGCAATGCTTTGTGTGATTCACTACCAATTTGGAGCACATGGAATAGCTTCCTGCTCTGCAAAGACTACATGAAGCATGCATTTTCCCTCACGTCACTTGTTTGCACGTTTCTGAAAGAGGAATAAGGTTAAAAAAACAACTTTTAGCAATAGTGAAAATGGAAATTTGGCATAAAAACACATTTAGTCCCCAAATGCTTAACATGCAAGTGATACATTCACTAAATGTGTAAAAGTTGCATGCTTTTATTCTTCCGCATCAGCAATGCATTTGATACGCAAATCATCAGGTTTGCATGATGGAGGGGGAAAAAAGCAGAATTATACCTTTGGATGAGTTAAACTTTGTTCTTGTATTTTAATTTCACAACAAATCCGTCTCCTAATCCAGCCTGTCTGCGGGGCATTTCAGGACAAGACAATGTTTTCCATTCCTTGGAAGCATGCAGCTCGACACGGTTGGGAATTAGACAAAGATGCCTGTCTGTTCCAAAAATGGGCCATTCACACAGGTGAGCAGGCAGGATCTGGCACGCCAACTCATTAAAGAAAAAAAACAGGTTATCAAGGAAAAAAAGTTCAAGCTTAACCGCTTTGCTTTTTGCTTTCAGGCAAATATGTGCACGGCCAGCCCATGGATCCCAAAACATGGAAAGCCAACTTCCGCTGTGCGATGAACTCCCTGCCTGATATTGAGGAGGTGAAAGACAGGAGCATCAATAAAGGCCACCAAGCCATGCGCGTCTTCAGAATGCTGCCTGCTACTCCCAAATGCAGAGGTGAGACACGGCAGCTAAACTCGGACTCCTTCTGCACTCTCAGAGCCAAGCTTTAACTCACCAGGTTTTTCCTTCTCCCTGCACAGACAAACGAAGCAAAGCGAGGGACACAAAGTCAAAAAAGAAGGTAAATATCTATTGAAATGATGTCACCCTCTAGATAAAGACATGTAAATAGTGTCTACATGGGATTAGCTCACATTTTCTTACGTTTTGTTACGTAAAACTCGCTGATGAGGTTGTTTTTTTTTTTGCTTCAGCAGAGACAGAATGTCAATATGGAGGAAGACACAGACTACAGTGACACTCAGTCGCCACTGAACACATCCTTGTTTGAAGAAAACATCTCCACTCAGGAAAACAGAGTCGACAGCATGGTACAGATGGACCAGGAAGGTGAGCAAAACCAAAATGTTATTTGAAAGTCCTAAAAAAATATTTGAGTGACTTGATCTAAAATCTTCATCAATCCTGTTGCAGATTTCTCCTTCACGGCTCCGTCAGAGGTCCCTGATTGGTCGAATTCAGTCGAAATCTCGTTGGACGACCTACCAAGCAGCTTTCCTCACAGATTTGAGGTTTCCCCTGAACACAGTCCTGGTAAGATGACAGATTTAATCTCTGAATAAAGATGAAGAAATTGCCTAATACAGCAAACATTAGACTCATTTGCTTTTTCTTCTCTCCCTGTTTCTTTGCTGCGACCTTCCAGATTACGACTATCCTCAGGACATCATTGAGGTAAGCACAGCTCTCAGCTCCTATTTTTTTTAAACACATGCAGTTTTCATTGACATGAATACCCATGTTTGTCTTTTTTGGCCTGTTTGGCTTGTTTTAGAATAACTAAAATTATAAGGCTTAATTAAAAAAAAAAGCTACTTGATGTTGTGGAAAAACTCCAGTTGGACAAAAGTACTCAATCTGGTGTTGCTCTTACAGATTTGCCAGCAATTGGAGAAAGACTCACTGGGGATGTACAATGCAGGCAACATGGGATTCCTGAGCAATGAAGCATGCACGAGTCCAGGAAGCCAGTGGAGTGAGTCATCCTCAGGTAAATACCAGTCTAGATAGACGATTACCGTAGGTTAAAATTATTACTAAAATCCTGGTACTTGTTCTCACCTTTGGTCCTTGTGTTTGCAGGAGAAGAAGTAGATGACACACCCCAGTACACAACTCTGGGCACAGACTTCACATCACCCACAGATGTCTTCTGGAACAGCTTTTGCCAATAGATTCAGATTGAACTAACAGGACAGTGCTTTGACACTTTGGACTATTATGAAGCTCTGCTTGTCCACCCCACCTCCTAATCTGGGACCAAACCCCTTAAGTCAAGTCACAGTCTCTTTGGTCTCGACTCATTAAGCTAACTCCTTTTTCGTGGTTCCGTACGGAGCCACTCCCGTCTCTCGGCCACTATGTGAAGTTCTGAAGAACACTGTTTGTCGTCTTTGTTTTTGACTGGTTCAAAACAACGTTCATGTAAATTTTCTGTGTTGTAAAATTGTACAGCTTGTGGAGTTCTGACAGGGCATTGTATTATTAACTGTAACCAGTAATAAAGGTGAGGTTCGCCTACCTCGAGTGCACTTAGGCTGGCACTGATCGCAAATGCCAGCTGCTCTAAGCATTTGTGAAGGAGTTGGTGTCAAATCAAAACATCGCATTTTTCCAATGTCTTCATGAATCCGTCAAAATACGGTGAACGCACTTCTTGATGTTTGCCCAAAACCCATCTCCAAGGTGTTTCTGTATATAGTTGTGTTTGTAGTTTTTTGTAATAAAAGGTAAAAATGAAGTCTGAAAACACGTTGGCTCGTTACTGATGCAACCAGATTATGAAATGAGGGATTTGCGCCAAAGGATTTACCTTACGTTTGCCAAAGTTTAGAAGTTTCTCTGAGCGAGCCAACCAGAAAGACTGCAAAGAACAGCATGTTTTGGGTACTTTTCACAGTAATCTTCAACCACATTGAAGGGGAAGCAGATCCACCCTTCTGGCCATATGATCTATGTGGTTGTTTAGTTCATCAGACAGATGCATTGTGCATTTCATCTTCCTCATATGGGGCTCAATTAAACATCTGAGATTTAGCACAAAGTGCCAAAAACTGTAACAATAGTTTTTATAAAAGTCTACAAACATTGATAATCCCAGTATGATGCATTTTCTAAACTTTGAAATTAAAAAAATATTCCTGAGAAGTAAAAATTTGAGCATAAATGTTAAATATAATTTTCTTCATGAAGTATTTATTGGCATTTATTGGTTTGAGACATAAACAAATGTTACCAGCTGTTTCTGCCTCCTTTAACATGTCCACAGTGGTGAAATTAATGCTTCAGTGGATTATTTTTTTCTAACTCTTGTTCTTTTGGCAGAATCATGCAAGATGGACACTTTTTGTAAAGAGGCCTTTCTGACAGGGGTGAAGAGAAACTCTTGAACCAGATATAACTCATTACAGTGTCATTCATGACACACTGAGCAGTTTTGGCTGAAAATGTTAGATTTTTACCTTTATTTTACTTTTTATTTACCAGTTGCGTTTTTTCAGAACCCATCCTCACTTAACCCTTTGATGCATGAATTATGAAATCTTCAACCATGACTTTTAAAAAAAAATTCTTCATTCATTTTCAAGTGTGAATGAAACAAATTTCAACAAATATTTTTGTGACATTTAATAGTTTACTAATAATTTATTACATGTCCACCTCAGTGGACAGCGTGCATTCTGAACATGAAATATGTTGGCTTGACTCCCTGAAGTCCAAATGGAGGGGCTCAAATGCAACAAAGTCTTCAACTTAATAGCAAAACAAAAACAAAACAAAAAACAAAACAATTTTGAGTACCTGTCCACTGTAATGACCATTATGCATCAAAGGGTTAAAAGGACGAGTTGACCAAGAGGCAGCAACAAGAGCAGAAAATACCTCAAGAAACACGTTACAAGATTAAAACAGTCAATTATAAATGTAACAACCAATCTCGCATTTTTTTTGAGCAATCAAGACAGTCTAAAAGCAGCCAGAACTGATCAGAAATTATTTATCAAAATGAGTGGCTGAAGGTAGAATTTGTGATGACTAGTGGGTTTTGTAGCTAATTCCAATCAAACTGCAAAGATGAATGCCCCAAAGTGTGACAAATGCAGATTTCCAGTTTAATTTTTAGGGACAAGTTAAGTTACATTTGCTGCTAATTTCAGAATACAAGGGTTCAAGAGAAACAAATCCAGCTTATTTGTGAGGAAAGCTCCTTCCCCTCGTGCTCCTGAAACAGCTGAAAGCAAAAACAGGAGTTTTCTTGGGAAGAGGGAATCACTTGTAGTTGCACAGAACCTCAGAAATGGGTGAAGCGGTAGCAAAGGCATGACCCAACTTGATAAAGTGTTTATTGTTTTATCTGAAAATTCAATCTCCTCAGGTCTGACTTCATTTGGGAAATGTGAAATCCTCCTGTACATTTAGGAAAATTTTGACTATTGGTTTTTATTTTAAATCTATACAAACAAACATAAAAAAAAAACCCAGAAATTCTATTATATTTTTTGACAGACAAATATTAAAAATCCCTCCTTGTTTTATTTCAAACAAAGAAAAATTGTGCCTAATATACATTTTGTATGATCAGAGGGCGGGAAAATGAAAGTTGGTCATCAGCAGAAAACTTTCTGGAAGTCTGTTTTAGCAATTTTATCAACACAAAATGCAAACAATTTTTCACAGATTCAACAGAAACTTATTGGGGGAACAGATATGCAAATTACAGTAAAAACAAACACCTTGCTTAATATTTGCAATGACATAAATTAAATACAATCGGTTAAATTAATATCTAGTTTTTACAACAAAATTATTTACAGTGGCAATTCACTTATAAATCAATGTGTAATTACTATGACTAGTTATATAAGGATCTTTTCTAAATAAAATGTAACAAAGGGAAGTCAATGAAACTTTTAGTAATCCAAAGTGGCATGACCGTAGATTACGTTTGTTTTTTAAGCTTTTAAAGAATAATAATAAAACAAAAATCATTAAAAATGCTGTCAAAGTGACCATTTCAAATGTTTTTTATTTAAGTTTAATTTTCTACTTTATTATAATTAATCCTTAACATTTTTTCTACTTTTTAAATCTGACAATTAAATTTTAATTTAAAATATCTGTTGTTTCTATCAGTTAGATTTCGCGAAGCAATTTAGAAACTTTTTAAAAAAATTTCTTTTCCAAAGATTCTAAATAAAAAAGCAGCTTTTTTCCTAAATTTTGAGAACATTTTTTTCCTTTGATTTAAAAAAAGCCTCCTAACATAAAGCGCAACTCAGTATTTAAAGAGTGCACCGGTGACTCATCATAGTCATCTGCACTATTACGCTAACCTGCAGAATTCCAACGCTAGACAAAAAAAAAGGGTTTCATCAGCACAGTTTATTTTTTGTGCATTGTCCAAAATTACCTCTGCAATACCTCCCCGACTGCAATTAATTTTCTAGTAGACGAGAAAATTACTTAAGCATAACTACACTACAAAAGTTTAATATTGTATTATTATTTTTTATTTAAAGGTGTGGGAAACCCGTTTAGTCAATACATTTGCAGTGGTCTCTGGTAGGAATGAATGAATGCCTTGCAAGCTATACTTGGGTCAGAAAACCCTCCAGAAACGTCTGCATTAGCAGGGACAAGTCTGCCACATCACATGGCAGGATTTGGAGTCTTATTTCCTGATATTTGGACATCTCACCTAGGATTGGATTACAGTAACATGACTACCATTGACTGCTTTGCAACGTTGATGTTTTATCTCCACAAATAACACAAGCCTGGATGAGTTTCTGCTGTGTGGTTGAGTTGCTAATGTTAAGGGTTAACGTTTGCAAGAACAAAACGTTCAATGCTGATTCTGGACGCTATAGACTTCCCAGTTGTGAGCCAGTATGAGATTCCAAGCGACCGTTTGACATACATTACAGGCCAAAAGTTTGGACACACCTTCTCATTCAATGTGTTTTCTTTATTTTCCTGACCATGATCATCTACAAAGGGGCCAATGAGTGCTAAACACCTCTGGGAACTCCTTTCAAGACTGTTGGAAAACCATTTCAGGTGACTACCTCCTGAAGCTCATCAAGAGAATGCCAAGAGTGTGCAAAGCAGTAATCAGTTAAGGGTGGCTATTTTGAATAAAATAGAATATAAAACATGTTTTCAGTTATTTCACCTTTTTTGGTTAAGTACATAACTCCACATGTGCTCATTCATAGTTTTGATGCCTTCAGTGAGAATCTACCCATGCTAATGGTCATGAAAATAAAGAAAACACATTGAATGAGAAGGTGTGTCCAAACTTTTGGCCTTTACTGTAGATCGGTCAGGCTTTTCAAATCCTAGTGTTTCACCATCTATTTTCTACCAGACGCTAGTGCAGGAGATAGGTGTAGGAGACTATTTTATGATCAGCATGCATGAAAAACTTATAATCTGAAATAATCATTAAAAATTGTTTTTTCAGCGAACCACACCTTTAAATAACTACAAATAAATCCAAAATTTGCTAATATCTATAGATGAAATGTAATGTGTGCATTTGCATTTTTAAAGTCTATCCTATTGTTTGTCTAGTCTTCAGTCTAGATGACAAAAACCACAGAAGAAAAAAAGTAGAATGGTCTAGGAGAGTCTGCTGTATGTTGAATATTTTTGCTGAGTGGTCATTATTAACTGCTTATATGAAGCATACAGTCTGTCTTGGACGAAGGGTAGACAACCTACCACCCTTTCTTGTTCTCTTTTCACAGCCGTAGCAAATGGAAGCAGCTCCTTTTGTTCATCCTTTCAAAAGAGAACACACAAGAATCGTGAATCAACACATTTGTCTCTCGTTAACAATCAAAAATAGTTCTTCCTTTCTTGTTACTCATTGAACTTACTTTTTTGAAATGCACGTCTCAGGGTGTTCTGCTAGGGTTTAACAAAGCTGTTCCATTTTTTATTCTAACAATAACACAAGTTGTAAAAAATCCCCCAGCAGATGAGTAATTAAACTATGGTGACCCAGTTTTGGCCAAAGTAACTGCACCAAGGCTTTGAGGAGTTTACTTTTACCAGGTTTTAAACGGTTTATTTTTCATTGTTCTTTCTGAACCACCATTAGCAGGAACAAGAAAGAAAATGATAAATGCCCACTTTGCTACAACAGGAATTCTTTTGTCTCAAAACAAGCAGAAGTCAGAGTCACGGCACTGTTAGGATTGCATTTCTGTATAGGCACTTCACCAGGCAGCGGATCAGTGATCAGTTCATAGAACAAGCACTGGCACATTTCATTTCTGTTGTATATTTAGAAAGTAAAATCACAAAGAAACAACAGACAAACATAAAAGTATTATCAAATGCAGATATTTAGAACTTATTTGATGCTATTTTACACCGATTACACCACGCGGTGAACACACAGACTCGTATGATTGTCGAGATGAGTAGTAAGGCTGGAACTTTGGCTGAGATTCAGACTCTGGCACAGAAGGTGGATTCGATCAAGGATAGAGTTGACGGATAAGCACGGATTGGGACCGATTAACTATGCCATTATTGGATTTAGAGGGGTTGAGGACCTACAGAACTTTAAGACAGAGAGGAAATTATCTCTGTCTGGCCCCAAAACAAGTTCTTATCTGAATCTAGTGCCCTTGAGCCTGAAGCAATAACTCCCCCTCAGAAGAAATGTGGAATGCTGCTGTCGCCATGGCAGCTCTGTCTCCCTATCCCAGCCTGGGTGGGACTGCGACCGGTGAAGGCCGTCGAATCGTTCCAGGAGTCACTGTGCTCTGTGAACCCAACGACCTCTACCACCGTCCAGACGGAGGTGACGGGCGCTGCTTATCGTGGCTGCATGCACTGATGTGTGGAGAGTCCCCAACCCTACCTCCCCACCTAGTGGACACTTACGTTGTGTAATGTCTGAAGTCTGTTGCATTTCTGTCTGAGGTGTTTTTTGCATAGCAAAGCTGCCCTCCCTGTGGAGGGTAACTCTGAAGTGCCTTTTTTTTTCACCTGACTCAATCCTCATATAAACCCTCTGATCTCTATTAAGGTAGCACGACTCGGGTTGCGAATGACCACAGTCACCAATTCTTGTCATGTGTCTATGTATGTATGTATGTCTGATCTCAGAATTGTGTGTACTGAAACTCTAATTCCCCTCTGGAATTAATAAAGTTTCTTTGAATTTGAATTTATGCTTTCATGTTTATTCATTCAGCACAAACTAACTTATTTAATTTATTTAAACTAACTTAGTTTAACTTATCCTAGTACTAATTGTATTCCTCATTAGTCAACATTGCAGATGAAGACATGCTCAGCTATGTTGTTGCTAGTATAAATAATAAATAAGGATATCCATAATAAAACGGCACTAGTAGGAATTAAGTCTGAGATTTCTCAGAATCCCTAAAAACCTATGGTGGCCTTTTTAATATTTATTAGGCAGACTAGATAAGTATTCCAGATACCCAGTTAGTACAGAATGCTGCAGCTCACACTATTAAAGGAACTCCTCTTACTGCTCACACAACAACTGCACTGGTTACCAATAGAATTCAAGATTATTTACAAACGTCTTCTGCTTACATTCAAGGCTGTGCACAACCTCGCTCCCTCCTATATCCCTCAACTCATCCAAATCTCCATACCCTCTCGAGTTCTCCGCTCCTCTGCTTCTTTAAATCTACACAGACTTACCACCATGGGGAAATGCACCTTCAGCAGATCTGCCCCTTCCCTATGGAACTCTCTCCCGGCTGAACTAAGAAGCACACTATCTCTCTCGCTCTTTAAATCCAGGCTTAAAACACATTTAGTTAAAATGGCCTACTCTGTGTAAGGACTCCTGTGTTTTCCAGTTGTTTCATTTGAGTTGTTTCATTATAGCTGTTAATTTAAGTTTCACTGGGTCTTTAGTGTAGTTTTACAGGGCCTTCATTATTTTTGGTTGTTGTATTTTGGTTTATTACAACTTTATTTTTTCTCTAAGTGTTTTTCTCCCCAGAAGAAGCTACAATGATGTTCTGCTGAGCTGTGGTGGCTTCATGGAGGGGGCCATCGGCTTGAACACTGTTGCTAACCACTTAAACAATTTCCCTCTCCTGATTATAACATTTTCCTTTCTTTAACATTGAATGTGCTACTACTAATTTACCCGTTTAATTGTAGATTCACTAGGATAAATACAATAAAGTTTATCTCTCACCAAATAGAATATTTACTAAGAAATCACAATGTAACCATAGAAACATTACTTGGTATATATGTTGTGTGTGTGTGTGTGTGTGTCTGCTCTGTCTTCTCAATCCCCAGTGAGTCGTGGTGGATGGCTGTTTATACTGAGCCAGGATCCTCTGGAGGTTTCTTCCTGTTAAAAGGGAGTTTTCCTCTCCACTGTCGCTAAGTGCTTGCTTAGTATGAGGATTGCTGTAAAGACACTGACACTAGTCAGTGACTCGATGCAATTTGCTGGGCTCCTTATGTAGGAAACTCTTTACTGATTGGCTTAACTACTTTTGGCTTGACTACTATAACTCTCTTTTCACGTGTCTGAGCAGAACTTCCCTGAACCGTCTACAGGTGGTTCAGAATGCCTGTGCTCGGCTTCTGACCAAGTCCTCCAAATACACCCACATCACCCCGCTTCTCCTCCAGCTTCACTGGCTGCCAGTCAACTTCAGGGTTCATTTCAAGATCCTGGTTCTGGTCTATAGGGCCTTACATGGACAAGCACCATCTTACATTGGTGATCTTCTTAGTCCCTACACCCCCAGCAGGTCCCTGAGGTCCAGTGATCAAAGCCTACTGGTTGTGCAGCGCACCAGGCTAAAGACCAACAGTGACAGATCATTTGCTGCTGTGGCCCCCAGACTCTGGAACTCTCTCCCCCTGAGCCTGAGATCAGTGGACTCAGTGGACTCCTTTAAAAAGCAGCTGAAGACTCACTTGTTCAAGCTGGCTTTTGTATGACCTTCTTCTCCACTCTCTCTTTATTCTGCCCTCCCCACCTATTCCACCTTCCTCAGGATCCACTGATTTCCCTCTTTCCTACTCACTCTCTCTCTTTCTTAACATTCTTTTAATCACAATTGTCTATTTTTTTTGCTAATTCTAAATATATTTTTAAACATTTTCTAAATGCTTTTTTAATATTTTTACATTTTTTGATTTTGTGAAGCGCCTCGTGATTTTTATCTTGAGAGGCGCTACAGAAATTATATTATCTTCTTCTTCTTAATGAACTGGCCTGTATTGGAATGTTTACTGTGTGAAGTGCCTTGAGACGACTCTTGTCATGATTTGGCGATATATAAATACATTTGAATTGAATTGAATGGTTGTTTTATGATGGTTGTTTTAATTTCTTGGTTTTATTGTGTCTTATTGCTGTTTTTACTATGAATTTTAATTTTACGGTGACCTTGGGTGTTTGAAAGGTGCCTGAAATTAAGTGTAGTGTTAGTATCTACAATTCTAGAGTTCCTCGTAGAAATGAACATTCCAGATATCCACAAGAACATTCTTACTGAACGAAAATTTCAGATATCCGAGATTTTCAATCTAGATAGTAAGAATCATTCATTAAAAAAAATCTTTGACGTTATAGATATTATAGATCATAACTGCGTTATAGAACATAAAACATCAGAAATTTGTAACTACACCTACTTACTTTTCTCATATAAGATGTCCAACACTGATCATAAGTGACATAGAAAAAGACGTCTTATTTGTAAAAACCAAAACAGAGGACTGTCTAGGCCGGGGGGCCTGAGTGTGTGTGTGTGTGTGTGTGTGTGTGTGTGTGTGTGTGTGTGTGTGTGTGTTTGTGTGTGTGAGTTAAATGGGCTAAACTAAAGTGAGGAATCTGTGGTGCTTTCCACTTAACAAGTGTAAACATTTCACTCATCATGTCCGAATCTTTGCAGAACTTCAGCTTTATTTAGTTTAGAGTGAAAATCACCCAGAATGTGTCTTGTGTTAATTGTGAAAGAGTGTGAGGCTGTTTCCTGTTGAGCTCGTCAAACACAGCTACGTTAACCAGCATGGTGAAATTAGGGCAGCTCTGTATTTCCCTAGGGTTTTTCACTCTCGTGACACCCGCTGACAGAACTCACCATTTTGGTTCAAATTTATTTTGCACTCAAGCTGCACTGCAATGGGGGATGTTTTGGTCAAATTTGAGGTTCCATTACATTAAACAGCTCAAGTGAAACTAAATACATTTGATGCAAGACTTTAGGGAAATTCTGATCTTTAGAAGCTTTTGCTCTAATTTAGAATATGATGATTTATTCTAGAATAATCTGACATTCCTAAAGAAGCAACAGCTTTTATAGAATGAAATGAGATTAGGAATAGGATTAGTCTGCATGTCCTTTATCTGTTGCCATCAAAAAGGAGATTTGTTGGTTTTTAAATAAGGACAAGAAACATTTTACAACCATCCTGCCATATCTCCAAATGTCTGCTCTTCATGTCTACACTTTTTTTTCATTTATAACATTAATTGAGAATGTTTAAATTTTCCAAGTTGGGGTTCAAGTTTTTAAGCCTTTATTCTTGCTTCTAGTCTAAAGACGGACTATGATGTTTTTGCCTGTTCATGTCTGTTCATGTGCTCATCAGCAAAACATGTCATGTACAACTAGATAGATTTTAATAGAACCCACAGAATGTAATTATAAAAGTCACATCTAACTAATTAGATTTTGGACTCAACCTGATTTAAGATGGCTGCCACAGCTAATTAATCTTAGAAAACACAAAAATGGCTAAAACTCTAG